TTTTTTTTTTTTTTTGTGAAATCTAGTTGTAGTGGTTTTATACTGTGCGGGTCTCCAAAAGGAGGCTAGACAGTCACCTAGCCGGGGTCGTTTGACCCCAGCATCCTTTCTTGCCCATGGCAGGGGGTCGGACTTCATGATCTTTTCAGGTCCCTTCCGACCCTATCAACTATGAAACTATGGATTGCTGAGGCAAAATTATGCTTTTCTACACCCCAATAAATGGGACCTCAGGTTGCTTTGAGTGCCTGGATTCAAGGGCTGAAGACCAGTGAGCTAAAAATAATGAACTTTCTCTGGATTTGTAGCAAATGCTGACTTTGCTTTGACTTTAAAAAAAAAAAAAAATCTTATTCCACCCCAATGTACTTGGTTACAAAGTGTGCATGCGTCACGCATGTGTATGGCTTGTTTTGTGTTCTGTTTCCCAAACCATCCCCACCCCCACCAAGAAAAAAAAGAAGCCTAAACCAAACCCACAGGCCACAGCTAAAATCATTGGCGATGCACACGGGTGCATATGCAGCCCCTGAGATTGGTGGTGCACCCCCTGTGATCAGCCACTGCTGACGCTGCCAGTGGCACCTGTGGGCAGTCACCACTTGCCACCCCACCCTTGCTGCCGATATCGGCGGTGGTATCTGCAGGTAGTTGCCGACCGCTGGTCGCTGCTCACCTTCCTTCCCTGCTTGCCACCGCCATGCCGCCACTGCCTGTGGGCGGTCACTGTGCCCCCCAGCCTCCAGGAGCATGCGGCATTCATGGCTAAAATGCCAAGGTGCTTGTTTGAAAGCACAAAAAGAAATGCAAAACTCTAAAACTCTTGGTTCAGAGATGATGCCTCTTATTAGACCACCTAAGAATTTGCACCAAAAAAAAAATCTTTTTCTGCAAGCTTCTGGGCACATGTGCTCTTCCTCAGGCTCAGGGAAAATTTAAAGATGGTAAAAAGTCTCCATAGGTATGCATTAAACTTCATTTTTGCACAGAGGAAGCTGAAGGTGGAAGTCTGTTCCTCTGGGTTCATGAGAGTCTTTGCCAGTTGCTCTTTGATGTGCAGATAAGGCAGGATTCCTTCCCTGGTGGTATCAGATGGCAGGAAGGTGTAGAAATCTTTCTTGTTGTTCGGCAATGAAGTTTAAGTCCAAAATGTGTTTGAAAGCACATACATTTTTTGTGTGATTGCTTTCAGTAATAGTACGCTTAGCAGACTTTTGCTTTCTTTGTGCAAAAACATTTTGATGCTTTGCAAAGAGAATGGATATTTTACTTCTAATAGCTGAGACTGTCATTAAATTTCCCCATCTGTTGATATTACAGTCCAGAGTGGAGGTTTTCCAGACGTTTCTACTCTCAGGCTGAATGTGGCTACTTCTGTGGAGATCAAATTAATCTTATGGATTTATAGGTGCCGGCTTTATTATTGTATGATGGTTGGATGTCTGGAAATGATTGATGGTGCTACAAAAGGTAATTGGTGCTTTTAGGCAGTATTTGGGACTTGCATTGTTTGCTGTCTCACAATAACCTCTCATAGTTCATAATGTTTTTCTTCTCCTTAGCAGGACTGGTGGAGAACCAGCCAGTTTTCATTAGAGTGCCACCTGTCGGGTTTTCACGCTGACATATGTTTGAGTTCAAAGTCAGCATGAAAGAGATGTTGTTTTGTCAAGTTTTTGGTTGCTTCAGAAATATTTGGGAGGAGGATGGGGAGGAATGAAACATCTGCTGCAAGAAAAAGATGACGCTACAAAAATGGAAATCTACAATAAATTGAATGTTGCAGGGTTCTGCAAGAATTGTGCTTTCCATTTTTGCTTTCTGCTTGGGGTAGCTGTACGAGTCAGGCCAGGCTGGAACGTGGAAGAGAAGGTTTCTGATTGGAGAGTTACATTTTTCACTATCAATAAGAAAATCTTTGGTTTCTAAACCAAACTGGTAACGATGTATTTGGTAGTGTTAGAATGGTGTTGTAGCCACGCTGGTTAAGGAATTATATAAGAGGCAAGGAATTTTTGGGGTGGTGATTTAAAAAAAAAAAAGTATCGGACCACCAGCATAGTTGGGATAAAGTTTTCTTCTCGCATCCTGTTCCCATGCTCAAACCTGGGTCCTGAGATGGGCACATACAAACAACCAACAGTTTTGTAGTCTTAGTGAGGGTCTTGTTAGTATAAGTGGGCAGACCAGCAGGTGTTCTTTAGTCTAAAGATTTTCTTCACACTTGCACATGGTCACCTGAAGAAGAATGCCTTGCATTTGAAAGCTTGTCTAACTTAATCCCAGCTATGCATTTGGTCCAATAAAAATATCAGTCCCCCAAACCTTTGCCTCTAGCATAACAATGCATTCAAAATTTGATCTCAAAACTCAGTGGAAATTTCTGGTCTTGTTCCTTGTGTATGCTGTTGGAGTTGCACATTGAAGCTGATGTGTTCTTGGGGCAGGTGGGTAGCATGGGAGCAGAGAAGTTTGAAAGGCAGAATTTGACTACATGCCATTCTGGAAGACGAGTAACTTGTGTGTGACTAGTCTGGGTTAAATGGGTAAAATTCCCGTATCAACCGGATAATAATTGATGATAATTTTGGGAAAGGGGGGAAATGAAAGTACATGCTTTCTTTGAGTCAAGCTACTCCTAGATCTTGATAATAATTCAGTCAGTATATTTAGTGGTTCCTTATTATTTTATTGATTTACGTTTTTGGCAGTTTCTGCCTGTGGCTGTCAGGGTCACCAAACTTGGCTTTCCTCGTTTCATTGAGCAGTGCATTCGATGAGGAGGAACCTCTAGCTGTCACCAAATTACCTGCACCCGCTGACTGCGAGGGCGTTCCACAGATCTCAGCAGCCATAGCAGGACATTGTACATCGTGAGATGCTGCTGGTGTACAAAAATCAGTTTAAGTGGCTGGAGCATTACTCGGTGTAGTAGCTGCCTCAAGTAGCCAACATAATTTCCAGTGGCCAAACCTACCACTGTAGGGAGGAGAGATGACCTCCCTTCCCTCATAGTTCATTGTGTTTCATTGCTTCTTTCCTGATGCTTTGTCTAATCACCTGAGATTTGTAAAATGTAAAATTAAAATAAAAAACCCTAGAGCAGGAGTTGTCAGCCGGGGTTATGTGTACCCCTAGGGCTACTTGGGTCATAGTGGGTACATGGGGACAGAATGCGCCCCGGGGCACGTAAGTGGCATTGACATCTCCCCCAGCTCATTCCCATACTTCACCTCTTACCCAGGGGATGGGGAGGGGGAGTGTACCGCCTGCCCCACACCTCCCTGTCCCCCACCTCAGCTTGCTCTCCTGCACCTCTTCCTGCAGAGCAGCAGGGTCTGAATGGTAGCAGGGAGAGGGAAGGAGTGTGTTTCTGTGCCTGCTCCCAGGAGCAGGGCTGGGGTGGGGGGGGGTGAGGGCAGTGGTGCCCCTTAGTGGGCCGCACAGGTGTTGTTGCCTGGCCAGCCAGACTGCGGGGGCTCACATGTGACAGCTGCTGCTGCAGTCACTACCCACCACTGCCACTGTTGCGCTTGTGCTGCTTTCCCACAGCCAGTCGCGCATGCAGCTCCATGGCTATTGATGGGCCGTGCGCGACTGACTGGGCACAAGGCCTGTCAGCAGCCCAAAGAGCTGCATGTGCAACTGGCTGTGGGAAAGCGGTGTAGGGTAGTGAGTGATGGTGACAGCAGCACAGGGTGGTGGGTGGTGATGGCAGTGGTGGCTGCCGCGTGCAAGATCCCCTCCTTCAACGCTGCCGCTATGCGTAGCCCCAGAAGGAAATGGGGGGCATGTCCCCCTGGATCTGCAAGGGCTGCTGCTG